TATAAAGTTTTTGGTATTTTCCATGCATTGGGTCGCACTGGTATAACATTCAGTACCAAGAGGCTGGCAGTGGCAGCCACGCGTTGTAACCCTAGGAGCTTCAGTTACATTGTTGAAGATATGAAGACATGGTAATTTGTGTAATTGTTCCATGAGTAACAATTCCATTCCATATTCTTTCACCAGCATAAATCAAGAATAGACACAAAATATTGTAAGCAAATACTATCTCTGTCCCATAAAGAACTTCCCAATTTGACTTCACAAAGTTAATTGTTGAAAAGTGATTGGTAGGAATTTGGTTAGAAGAGAGACAAATGTTGTGAACCACATATTCCTTCCTTCAAAGAAAATGAGAGAAGTGTGAACGGTTAAGTTTATTCGAGACATATAAACAAGGATAGTACAAAGTTCTTTATGCGAAGGAGCATGGAGGAACTTTAGTTCTACAATATCTTTGAGTGTGTGTGTGTGTGTGCATGCAGAAACAAAAATAATAAAAAGTACAAAGATCTGAGAAATGAGAGGCATACAACAACAACGCAGTTGTATCCCACGCAAGTAGGATCTCGGGAGGGTGTGTGTACGCAGACCTTGCCCCTACTCGAAAGTAGAGAGGCGAGGGGGCATACCTAGGAAAGTATTCTATTGGGAATAAAAAGGCATAAAAACTATGAAAATGGCAATGGCTTGTTTGAAAACAACATTTTTAGTTAGCAATTAATATTATTCTTTAATAGGGCAGATTAACTTTGAACTGCTGTTGATCAGCCGTTAATTGAACGCAATATACAGAACATCACCAGAAATAGCATTACTGAAATAATGAAATTTATCACCTTTTCATGTAACAAGCAAACAATTATGGGTGATTGATGGAAAACTGTATTTCATTAATGGGAAAAAATACAGCAACTATCTCTTAATTCATCTCCTTACTATACACCCAAGTGCCAAGCTTCATTGAATTACAGTTCTCGGATAAGCTCCATTAATGGAGATAAATAGAGAATAGAAATTTGACCTACGCCGCGGAACGAAACAGTGCAACTCTTCACAACAATAAAGGCGGCGGATTCTGCAGCCCAATAGCAACTTGCTAAGCCTGATTATCAGTAATTAACTGAGAATTGAGAAGAGTCTTGATATCATTAATAGGTGTACGGATTAGAATACAAATGCGCAGAGAATTCTAACCAGAAAGCATGAAAAGCTCCTTCAATCGCTTGGTTTTTATGAATTTCAATTAAATAAAATTTATAACAAAGATATCATTAGATATATCTTGTTCAAGGGTTTGTAAAACTAGATTACAATTTTTGAATGGAGAATTCCTTAAATATCACTAAAAAAACTCGAAAAAAAGATTTAAAACAATAAAAATATATTAACATAAGACTTTCATATTTTTATTCTTGAAATAAAAATTAAAATATATTTATACTATCAAACGTGGTCATGTACATTACCAAAAAGTATAGTAATGTGCACGTCTATTGTATTACATTATCTCTACATTACCACAGTGTAAACTTCTATTTCGAGAATAAAAACATAGAAGTCCTATTTTGATACATTTTCTATGTTTTAGACTTATTTAGGGTCATTTTTTAAAAAACTATGAATATAGAAAAATATGAGTCATAAGTTTTTTAAGAAAAAATAGGAGTTCACACTGTCATTGTTACTTTATCACACTCACCACATTATCACATTATAACTGCCACACTATCACCGTCAGACTGTCACCGCAGATCACCGACGATTGACTGATGACTAACATATTACATTGTTATTATTTTCTTATCACACTTCCAACGTGTACTCTTACACCACATTGTCATTATACTTCAATTTTGGTCTTAAGAGACATGAGACTCTATTTTAGTATTTTCATACTTTTTTACTCTTATCTAATGAAATTTCTTTTTTTGAAAACTAAGAAAGGCATGTACTCCCTAACTCCAAACTAGATTACAATTTTTGAAAAATCTCATGTTTTTTAAAATTATTTTATTTAAATATCGGTATAAAAATGAAAAACAAAACTTACATAATAAAAAATTAAGCCAAAAATTTTGTAAAGTAAGAGACAACACGAATATTTTAATTTATCATGTTATCAATGAAAATATATAAATAAACACAAGTTATTTCGATGTGAGAGAAAAATAAAATTGTGATCAATTTGAAGACAGATGAGCATATCATATTTCAATGTGATGAGTTTCTATTCATTTTTTAAGACGTCGAGGAGTAAATATGAAGCCATAAATTCTAATTCATAATTTTAAAATCAATAATTTTTTATCAATGATTTTTTGTTGATTTATAATACTTCCTGAATTCTTTTTACCCGTTGATTTTGTGCTTGAAAATCATGCATCCCGATAGATAGCCTGGATAAGGCACATCATGCTCATTAGAGCATCGGCAATGGCGAGGGATGTGATTTCCTCGCCCTACCAACCAGGGGCGGATCTAGTTCAATGGAATAAGGGCAAATGCCTCCAACTAGTTTTTTGTAATAAGGTAGAAAAGAAAAAATAAAAACCTTTATGTATATATGCCCCCAACATATATTAATGTGACTCATCTAATTAGGTTAAATGTAAATTTTTTGTTAATTTTTTTAGTAAAGTACTACGTATGTTTTATTGCATATAATTAATTTTTTATAAAATAAAATTTCAAATAACCTATTAAAAATGTTATACATTCAATAAATGTTTGAAAATAAAAATCATTAATTTTTGTCATTTCAAATAGTTTATCGAAAAAAATTGGGGCGCTACTCTCGGATAATAATGCCCCCATCTAGCTAAATTTCTGGATCCTGCATTTTTTTAATTTTTTAATTTTTTTTGTATAAGAAAAAAAGATTTTTAATAGAGTATGTACATCTATTTTTGTAAAAAAAGATAATTAAAATAATTTTTAATAATTAATATAAATAAAAAAGATTAAAAAGTGTAAAAACAATGACTTGCCACTGCATGACACGTCAATTCACTCACTTGTCACATGGTTGTAGACTAAGTTATTTTTTATTGGTTCAAATTTTTCACATCACTACGTAGCATTCCATTTTTACCTCACCATTGTACATGCTCGAGGACTCAAAGAGGATTGATGCCCAATTCCCAATTCAGCAACATGCACTCTTCATTTTCTCATCAATAGTGTGGTCAACCTGGTCCTCCTCGGGCATGAAGTTGGTCATTCACTCTCTTCTTTGGAGTGAGAATCAACCATGTGTAGTGTGCTTGGCCTCAGCCATTAGTAGTGCCTTGTTTGTGAGGACGTAGCATAATTGTAACACCACAACCCGCGTAATCCAAACACATGAATAGCAAATCGGGTTGTTACTAATCTGGTATCCAAACACATACTATTTTCAAACAATTTAAAACATCTAAACAGTTCTTATAATAAAATCCAACATCAGAATAAAAATCCAAATATTGCGGAAGCTTAATTTATTTAATCAAACACAACTTGGGACATGCAAAAAAAATGTAATAACTTATTTAGAAACAGATATTGATTCCAAACCATTAATCACATCAGCCTACATTTCTTCATCCTCATTACCCTTCAGGATCAACTTTAGATCCATCATGTCCTTGATTACCTACGTGTAACAACCAAACAAACTACACACTCAACAATGACGCTAAGTGAAAAATTTCTAATGTTAAGTAAACAACAAGTGAATCCACACTTCATAAATGTCATGTGATATCATGCAATCAACATATACATCAGACAACAAGAATTCTTATAATTTACCTGACACTTGCTCATTTCCATTCTCAGTATAACTGTTGATTCTTCGAGGTTGGTGGATCACCAAAAACATGTTCCTATAATTTGTTCTAGACTAAGAACTACTATATTTTGGGAGTCATGATTTTTCTCACTGGATCAGCAGATCATGCTCAACCAACGAAGGTGTCCTCCATTAGTACGGGTTCTGTAAAAATACCAAACCGTCAAGAACCATGCCCACCCCTATGGAAGCTTATCCTATTACTCCATTCGTCATAAAACTTTCTTCCCGTTGCGCAAAACGAAGAAAAATCCCAAGTTTTTTCAATCTATTTTATTTAAATATTGGTATAGAAATAAAAAAAACATACATATATAAAAACTACATCAAAAGTTCAACAAAACAAGTGGTGACAAGAATATTTTATTTTATCATATAGGCCATGAAAAAACACAAATAAATATAAATTCTCGTGAAGTTGGAATAGTGCCATGGGAAGAAAGTTTTAGTACGGAGGGAGTAATTTTTAGTTTTTTAATGATTCTAAAAAAATATACACGCTAGATTTGTATTTGTCAAAATAGTGAAACTTAGAAATTAGATTTGAATTTAAAGTCAGAGGTGTTTTAAGTATCATATTCACCTTGATAGTGTTATCATAAATCAAATTTTTGCAAATGTATAGAAAAAAACATCACACAAGAACAAATAAAGCATGAGAAATGCACTAAGAGTAAGGAACTAGAATTGTGTTAGATTTAGGATTTATGGTGATAATAAATCACATTAAGATTAATATTGTAACCGATTTTTTAGCTAGAACTACTTGCATTTTTTAATAAAAAAGCATTAATAATCTGGAGGACCGAACGAGGTTGGCTAAAATTTGGAGTGTCATATTTATAAAATAATATTTTTCTGTTTCTTAGTGTAACAAACTGTTCTTCTCTCAACAAGTCCCAAGGCAAAAATATTACTATTTTTCATTAAGAGCCACCGAAATACATCGTAAATGCATAAATTTGAAAAGTGAAAAAAACGGACAAAGCAATGCACCGTAAATAGGATAAGTTTCTCAACCAAATGACATCAACTCTTCAAATAGAGTTCAAACTCTTAAAAAACTGTAAAAAAAAATGGATTCTAAAATGTATAGAAAATAAATATGGAAAATCAAAGAAGAAGTGATATCACTCTTTCACAAATATATATTTTATGAACCTAACCCACCGATTCACAGAATGTATTTAGAATATACTATAAATACATATATGATGAAAATAGCAAATATCCATTCTAGACTTTGGATATATTTTTATTCGATCAAACCAGTTTACATAGCATTGCTACATCTGGAGACGACAACCATACACGGGGCTTAACCACAAGCTAGAAACCGAAACGAGAAAGTGCCACGATGAACGGGCATCACACGGTAAAAAGTAAAACAAGACAAAACAGTTGAGAAAACGCGCGCGCGGTAGATGCTGGAGAGAGATGGATTTAATAAGATTTTGGGACGGACTTGCGCATCCAAACCTGTTTTCCACCAATGCAGAGTTTTGCTTTCTCGGTGCCATTGAGGATGAAGTCAAGTATACCTGGAGTTGTGAAGACAATGAGGGCATAGAGTGGCAGCTCACCAGGATTCACTTCCTGCATGGTGATGGAATCAATGCAGTCACCAAACATCTTGCCGAAGAACCGACGGATCTCAGCTTCATAAACTGGGAATCCCTTTGAGAAGGTAGCAAACATTGTCCTCCTTCCTTTTGGTGCCTTGATGGTTGGCATTTGACGAGGCACCACCCCACCAGATTGAGACGACGACGAGGACTCACCAAGGAAGTAGTCAATCAGTGCCACTTCACTTTGAGCCAAGTGTTGCTGGGTGTTATTGCTGATGGCCATTGCCTTGAGATCGTCTAATGCCTTTACACAAACTCCTGATACAATCTTTTTGATCCTAGCAGATGCCGAGGCCTGGTTTTCATATACGTACTTGAGACAAAAGTGCTGTCTCAAAAGATATTGAGTGAGAAAAAACTCAGTTGGTGCATGAGAGAAATGATACATGGTGTTCGCAATGCATCCAAGGCAGATCACAGCTTCCCCGAAGAGTCCATCGATCATTTCGAAGGACAATGACAATACTTTTGCCACAACATCCTTGAATGTGATGTGTTCCAGCCAAATCCAAAAGGCAATTGTCAGCATGGATACCTTTGGATCGCACTGGAGATTGAAAACCAGGATTGAATAAAGTTGTCGGTCAATTGCATGGAAAAGCTTGCTCATCTCAACCGGAACTTCAGGATAGACAGCTTCCATTTCCATGGCTAAAGTTTTTGTTTGAAAACAAAACCTATTCAGCATTTATTTAAAAGATTTATTTAGAAGCAAAAAAGATATTGTGAAGGAAAAGGAGAAACCTCTGGAGATGCTGCTGGGTGTAATGATCTGTATATCTGCTTCACCTAGCTAGCCAAATTAATAGGGAGCTAAAGACTGCCACAGAGGTCAAGATTTAACGAAACCTGGAAGTGAAAGATAAACTTCAGTAAGTTGAAGATTTATATAGAAAAAAGAGAGAGAGAATGTGAAGGAAAAGAAGAAACCGCTGGAGAAGAGCATATGATCTATGGATTGATATCTGTAGACCACTTCACTAATGTCTTTATTTATAGGCAGGAAGGCAGTTCGGCACCGTCACGGAACTCTATGCGGTAGTCACCTCATTTTAACTTGGTGATATGCAGATAAATGTATGCAGGTTATTATAGCGTTAGAAACCAACAAACAAAGTTAAGTCCATTATTTACACGAAGCTAAAACATTATCAAAAATGACTCTTTTAACTCCATTGGCAATGAAAGCGTATAACATTTTTTGGAATATTTGCACAACAACAACCCAATTAAATCCCACAAAAGTAGGATATGGAAGGGTGTGTATACGCGGACCTTATCCCTACTCAAAAATAGAGAGGTTGTTTCCGAATAGACCCTCAACTCAGGCCCCACATGTAATCACGTACGTAGCCTGACCCCTATGTTTAAAACATAGAGCAATTGTTTCTAGATGACCCTGAAGAGCGTCAAAAGTTGCATTTACTAACTGCTACTTCACTATTAAAATACATTTTCAAGAAAACATTGGGGTAAAATCTTTTTTAGTGGTTCGGATCATCCACAGAATGCATAGTGAGAAAGCTTTGGGGCCGGATGAAATTTTGGTGGAGTTTTGGAAGCATGCATGTCGCGATGGGTTGGTATGGTTAACCAAGCTCTTCAGTTATTTTCAGAATGGCTAAGATGCCTCACGAGTGGAGAGAAAGCGTGTTGGTCCCTCTATTTAAAGGTAAGGGTGACATTCAAAATTGCGAGAATTACAGAGGCATCGAACTTCTTAGCCACACTATGAAGGTTTGGGAGCGAGTCATTAGGTATATGCTGCGGAAGGGGGTATGCATTTTCGAGAACCGATTTGGTTTCACGCATCAAAAAAAGAGGCCATCCACCTCTTACGGGGATTGATGGAGGAGTACAAGGCTAGGAAGAAGGGTCTTCACATGGTCTTTATTGAACTTAAGAAGGCGTACGATGAGTTCTGAAAGGTATATGTATAGTGGGTCAAGGACTAGGGTAAAGACCATTAGGGGCGACTCAAAACCTTTCTCCATAGAGGTGGGGTTACACCAAGGGTCTACCCTTAGACCTTTCTTGTTTGCTCTGGTGTTGGATTGTCCTGACGCAAGGAGTTCAAAGAGAGGTTTCATGGTGCATGCTTTTTGCTAATGATATTATGCTTATCGACGATACCCACGAGAGAATAGACGAAAAGTTGGAACTTTGGTTCCTTTCCGTAGAGGACTCTGAGTATAACTAAGTCTGAATACATGGAGTGTCGGTTCAGCGGTCGTGAAATGGAGGAAGTGGTGAAAGTCAGGATGGGGAGTTGGATGGAGATGTGGTGTATCATGTTGGAGCGGCTTGGGCTAAGTGGAGGTTAGGTTCAGGGTTCCTGTGCGATAAGAAGATTTCACCTAGGATGAAAGGTAAGCCAGCTACGATATTTGGGGCGGAGTGCTGGGTGGTTAAAAACCCACGTTCGTCTGCATGTTGCAGAGATGCAGATGTTACAGTGGATGTGTGGGCAGACAAGGCTGGATAAGATTCCAAATGAGGTTATCCGAGGTCAAGTAGCCATAGCACCCATGGAAGATAAGCTACAAGAGAATGTTGACGCCCCAGAGCAAAGATGAGAGATGCTTACTTTGGTGGGTGGAAGTAGGTGAAGGGGCAGACCTAAGAGTTGGAAGAAAGTGATTAGAAAGGACTTAGAACTTATTGCCCTTTCTAAGGATATGGCTTTAGATAAGAGCGTTCTGCGAGCTAAGATTAGAGTAGTTGGATACACACCTTTGGCTAGAGGGTTGTTTATTGTACTTGTTGTGTGCTTTGTATGCCGTGTTTGCTTGGTGCTCTTTGTTTGCATTACTTTCCCTTCGCTAAGTCTAGTGTCTTGCTTGCCTTTGTGTGCTTTGTGTTTTTTCTATTTTATATCTATGCAGCTTAAGCCAAGGGTCTCTTGAAAATAGCCTTTCTACTTTCGAGTAGGGGCAATGTCTCTTCTCTACTCTAGTGATTTCCAGTTGGGTTGTTGTAATTACAGAAAAAAGTAGAACCAAAATGGAGTTCTCCAAGCGTGTTTTTGAGACGATGGGAGAAGTGGAAACTTTGGTGTCCCCCCCCCACCCCCCACCCAAAAAATGTGTTGAACCAAATGAGGTGTGGAAAAACTTTTCCTGTCTCCCCCACCAACAACTATACACACCCTAAAGGAGCATAAAAGTTATCAAAGTGTTACTACATAAAGTCAAACTTGTCTACCATTTCAATAAATTGGGTGTATATACATAATACCTACAAGTTAACAGCAACTCAAGTACATTCTACCTATCAGAAAAATACAAAAGCAAAATCAACAACAGCATCAGTAAAACCCTGTAAAATTCCAACTCCAAAGTCAAGAACTATGCAGTTCTCTACCAACTTCTATTAATGAAACTACAGTTCTCCACAAACTTCTATTAATGAAAAGAAATAGAGAGTAAAAGTGGAAGCAGTTCACCATTCGGATAGGGAAGAGATGGGCGTGGAAGAGAATAGAATCAGTGCACCACAAATGGAGGTTCCCAAGATAATGGAAGTGGATTCAGCAACTCAAATAGGATATTGCTGAAACTGGTTTTCAGTATCATAAAAACCGATCTTATTCTCTAAGGAGTATGTAACCTAGACGCCATGTGAAGAAACGAATGCATTCAAACCCTCAATCACAAAGGCACTCATGAAGTCACATTTCTGCACTGCTTTTTAACTGTGGAGGAGACATAGAGATCATAATTATACAAAGAAAGAGATCATCTTTAAAAGGAGAGATTTGAAAGAAAATGAGAAACCTCTGGAGATGCTTTGTGTATTGATCTGTGTATCTGGTTCACCCACTAGCTAGCTGAATTTTTAGGCCGCTAAAGACTGCCACATAGCTCAAGATTTGACGGAACCTGGGTGCAAAAGATAAAATTTAGTAAGTTGTAGATTTATTTAGAAGATGAAAAAAGAGAAAATGTGAAGTGAAGGAAGCAATTGATTTATGGATTGATATATGTAGACCACTTCACTACTAGCTCAATTTAAAGGCAGGAAGGCAGCTCAACACCATAACACAACTCATTTAGAAATAAGACAAGTAATCAATGTTATGTATGCTTTTTCACACTTCATTTAGAAAAACATTAAAGTAGTTTGAGGAAAGCAAATGTCCTTAATAAGCCTAAAACAAAGTGTTACTGTCCTTATAAATTTAGCTATACACTTCATGAAAGGATCATTTTCACTTTATGATGACAACATTAAATACGAAGAATAATACGTATTCAGGATAAAGAACATTTGGGAACAAAACTTGGCTGGAGGAGGAGGATACAGTACCTAATGGTGTCCTAATCTAAAACAAGAATTCCCTCTCATGTCCATGTTTAATTGTTAATGAATCATCCAATTTGTTTTAGATAAATAAAAAAAATCCTAGACCCTGGTATCACAAACATGGATGTAAATCTTATTAATTGAAAAAAGAACATACAGCAGCTATCTTGATCTCCTTAATATACACCCAAGCGCCAAGCTTCATCGAATTACACTTCTCGACAAACTTCCATTAATGAAATAGAGAGTAAGAGTGGAAGCAGATTACCATTGGGATAGGAAAGAGATGGACATGGAAGAGAATTGAATTTGTGCACCACTAATGAAGGTTCACAACAATAATGACAGTGGATTCTGCAGCCCGAATAGGAGATTGCTGGGCCTGGTTTTAAGTAATTATTATAAAAACCATCTTATGCTCTTAGGAGTATGTAACCTAGATGTCATGTGAAGAAATGAATGCTTTCGAATCCTCAATCACAAAAGCACTCATGAAATCACTTTACTGCGCTACTTTTTAACTGAGGAGGAGACTGAGATATCATAATGACACAAAGGAAGAAATCTTCTTTTAAAGGATAACATTGAAGGAAAATGAGAAACCTCTGGAGATGCATTGTGTATTGACCTGTGTATCCGGTTCACCACTAGCTGAATTTATAGGCAGCTAAAGAATGCCACGTAGCTGATGATTTGATGAAACCAGGGTGTAAAACATACAATTCAGTAAGTTGTAGATTTATTTAGAAGAAGAAGAAAGAAAGAAACAAATGTGAAGGAAGCAATTGATATATGGACGCCACTTCACTACTTGCTCAATTTATAAGCAGGAAGGCAGCTCAACACCGTCACGCAACCCATTTAGGAATAAGTTTAGTAATCAATGTATGCCTTTTAACACTTCATTTAGAAAGGTATTTAAGCAGTTTAATGAGAACAAACTGTCCTTAATAAGACTTAAACAAAGCATTACTCATCTGGATATAAATTCATCATTAAAAGATTAGTAATGGAGTCATAAACTTAGCTATACACTTCATAAAAGGATCATTATCATTTTATTATGACAACATTAAATAGGAAGAATTATACAAAATCAGGATAAAGAACATTTGGGAACAAAATTAGGTTGGAGGGAGAAGGGGATACAGTTACTTAACAGGAATTTCCTCTCATGTCCGTGTTAAATTGTTAATGAATGAGCTAATTTGTTTTAGATTTAGAAAAAAATCTAGGCCCTGGTATCCCAAATATGGATGTAAATCTCATTAATGGAAAAAAAGAATAGAGTGCAGCTATCTTGATCTCCTTAATATACACCCCAAGCGCCAAGCTTCATCGAAGTACACTTCTCGACCAACTTCCATTAATGAAGAGAAATAGAGAGTAAGAGTGGAAGCAGTTAACCATTGGGATAGGAAAGAGATGGACGTGGGAGAGAATTCACACTTCATTCCGAAAAATATTAAAGTCGTTTAATGAGAACAAAGTGTCCTTCATAAGCCAATAATGAAGCATGATGGATTTGGATATCAATTCATCATTAAAATATTACCAACGAAATCATAAATTAGGTGTGAGGGAGAGGGGGATACAGTAACTAATCCACAAGAGCAATTCCCTCTCATGTGCTTAATTTACACCCAAGTGCCAAGCTTCACCCAGTTATAGTTATGGACCAACATACATTAATGAGTAGAAAAAGAGAGTAAAAGTCAAAGCACTTCACCATGGGGATAGGAAAGAGATGACGTGGAAGAGAATGGAATCAGTGCACCACTAATGAAGGTTCAGAAATCACGACGATAATGACGGTGGATCCTGCTGCCCAAATAGGAAATCGCTGAGCCTGGCTGTAAGTACTTACATACAAAAACCATCTTATGCTCTTAGGAGTATGTAACCTAGATGCCATATGAAGAAATGAATGTTTTCAAATCCTCAATCACAAAGGCACTCATAAAATCACATTTCGGCACTGCTTTTTTAAATGAGGAGGTTCAGAGATCATAATCATACAAAAAAATCATCTCTACAAAGAAGAAATTTGAAGGAAAATGAGAAACCTCTGAAGATGCTTTATGTGTTGATCTGTGTATCCAGTTCACCACTAGCTGGCTGAATTTATAGGCAGCTAAAGACTGCCACAAAGCTCATGATTTGACAAAATCGGGGTGCGAAGGATAAAATTTTGTAAGTTGTAGATTTATTTAGAAGAAGAAAAAGAGAATATGTGAAGGAAGCAATTAATTTATGGATTGATATATGTAGACCACTTCACTACTACCTCAATTTATTGGCAGGAAGGCAGCTCAAGACCGTCATGCAACTTATTTAGAAATAAGTTTAGTAATCAGTGGATGCTTTTCACACTTCATTTAGAAATGTACTAAAGTAGTTTGATGAGAACTAAGTGTCCTTTTTTTGAAAAAAGAACAAAGTGTCATTAATAATCCTAAAACAAAGTTTTACTGAACTCGATATAAATTCATCATGAAAAGATTAATTACGAAGTCATAAATTTAGCTATGAAAGGATCATTATGATTTTATGATGAAAACATTAAATAGGAGGAATAATACGAATTCATGATAAGGAACATTTGCGAACAAAATTAAGTGGGAGGACAAGGGTGGTACAGTAACTAATCAACAACAGGAGTTCCCTCTCATGTCCATGTTCAATTGTTAATGAACGAGCAGGGTTTGTTTTAGATATATTTAAAAATCCTAGAACCAGGTCTCACAAACTTGGATGTAAATCTCTATTAATGGAAAAAAGAATATACAGCGGCTATGTTGATACTCCTTAATATACACCCAAGTGCCAAGTTCCATCCAATTACAGTTATGGACCAACTTCTATTAATGATGAGAAAAAGAGAGTAAAAGAAGAAACACTACACCATGGGGACAAGAAAGAGATAAATGTGGAAGAGAATTGAATCAGTGCACCACTAAAGGAGGTTTAGAAATCACGACTACAATGTCTGAGCATGGTTTTAAGTATCATAAAAACCATATTATGCTCTTAGGAGTATGTAACCTAGATGCCATATGAACAAATGAACGTTTTTGATAGAATTTTGGAGGGTATTGATAACTGGATTGGGTAATAAGACACTTGGGTTGAACCACATTAAAAGATTGAATCCAATCGATTAGTTAGTTCAACTCAAGAGCTTATATACCGATTATTTTATTTTTGGATTTTCGATGTGGGATGCACTTTAACACTCCCCCTCAAGTGGACAACCGGGCCATTTTGAATCTAACCGGTTGACCACTTGCAATGAACTCCCATTCCCTTGACTTTTTTTGAGCGCCAACACCTAAAGGACCACGAGCCGCTGGGTATGGACTTCCAAACGAGCAATCGTGTTAAACGGGCCACAGGCCGTTGGTTACATACTCCATACGGACAACTGGGCTAAAGACAAACGGGCCGCTAGGAATGAACATCTAGACGGACACCTTGACAAACGAGGTGGGCTAAAACTGGCTCTGATACCATGATAGAATTTTGGAGGGTATTGATAACTGGATTGGGTAATAAGACACTTGGGTTGAACCACATTAAAAGATTGAATCCAATCGATTAGTTAGTTCAACTCAAGAGCTTATATACCGATTATTTTATTTTTGGATTTCCGATGTGGGATGCACTTTAACAGTTTTCAAATCCTCAATCACAAAGGCACTCCTGATTTCACTTTTCTGCACTGCTTTTAAACTGTGGAGGAGACTCAGGGATCATAAGCATGCAAAGAAAGAAATCATTTTTAAAAAAGAGAAGTTTGAAGGAAAATGAGAGTTCTGGACTTCTGGAGATGCTTTGTGTATTGATCTGTGTATCTGATTCACCACTAGCTGGCTGAATTTATATGCAGCAGCTAAAGACTGCGCCACGTAGCTCATGATTTGATGAAACCTAGGTGCAAAAGATAAAAGTAAATTGTAGATTTATTTAAGAGAAGAAAAAAGAGAAAATGTGAAGGAAGCAATTGATTTATGGATTGATATATGTAGACCACCTCACTACTAGCTGAACACCGTCACGCAACTCATTTAGAAATAAGTTTAGTAATCACTATATGCTTTTCCACACTTTATTTAGAAAAAAAATTAGAGTAGGTTAATGAGACAAAGTGTACTTAATAAACCTAAAACGAGGCATTACTGATACGGATAAAAATTCATCATTAAAAGATTATAAACGAAGTCATAAATTTAGCTATGAAAGGATCATTTTCATTTTATGACGACAACACTAAATAGAAGGAATAATGTGAATTCAGGATAAAGAACAATTGAGAACAAAAATAGGTGGAGGGCAAGGGTGATACAATTATTAATCAACAACAGGAATTTCCTCTCATGTCCACGTTAAATAGGTAATGAATGAGCCAGTTTGTTTTAGATATATAAAAGAAATCCTCGGCCCAGGTATCAAAAACATTGATGTAAATCTCTATTAATGGAAACAAGAATACATGGCAGCTATCTTGATCTCCTTAATATACACCCAAATGCCAATTGGACCAACTTCCATTAATGAAGAGAAAAAGAGAGTAAAAGTGGAAGCACTTCACCATGGGGATAGGAAAGAGATAAATGTGGAGGAGCACTGATTCAGTGAACCACTAATGGAGGTTCAGAAATCACGACGATAATGGTGGTGGATTCATGCCATATGATGAAATGAATGTTTTCAACTCGTTTTCAAATCCTCAATCACAAAGGCACTCATGAAGTCACTTTTCTGCACTGCTTTTTAACTGTGGAGGAGACTTAGAGATCATAACCATACAAAAAAAAGAAATCATATTTAAAAAGGAGTTGGAAGAAAAATGAGAAACCTCTGGAGATGCTTTGTGTATTGATCTGTGTATCCGGTTCACCACTAGCTAGCTGCATTTATAGGCAGCTAAAGACTTCCACGTAGCTCATAATTTGAGGGAACGGGTGGAAACCTGGGTGCAAAAGATAAAATTCAGTGAGTTGTAGACTTATTTACAAGCAGAAGAAAGAGAAAATATGAAGGAAGCAATTGATTTATGGATTGATATATGTACACTGCTTCACTATAACCTATATTTATAGGCAAGGAGGCATCTCAACACCGTCACGCAACTCACTTGGAAATAAGTTTCGTAATCAAAGTATGGTTTTTCACACTTCATTTAGAAAAATACTAAAGTTGTTTGATGAAAACATAGTGCCCTTAATAAGCCTAAAACAAAGCATTACTGATCTGGGTGTAAATTGATTGTTAAAAAATTAAGGAAAAATTACCCAAAATAATCCCAACTTTACCCGGTCTTTCAAAAATAATCCCACCTTTCATTGTGATGCATAATAATCCCAACTTTATTGAAATATGTCAGTTTTGGGTTGCCGTTAAGTTTCTAACGGAGGGTTAACGGAAATGCCTGTTTTGGGCAATAAAATGAAAGTTGGGATTATTTTTTATGAATTTTCATTTTTTTAAATTTTTTTAAATTTTTCATTTAAATTTTTAAAATTACTTTCTACCTCCATCATCATTTCTTTTTCCTTTTTTAAAGATTAGTCTTAGTTTAAAAAAAAATAAAAATAATAGATATAAAAAAATGAAAAAATGAGAAATCTAACTAAAATGATACAAAAATAATAAAATAAATAAGGTAATCAATGGAAACTAACTTGAAATTGGTAAAAGTAAAATAAAAATATACGGGTGAGTTTTAATATTTTACGCACTATACAACGTATTAACATATCACTTCTTATTTTTTAGAACAAATTATCTACAATAATTTCAACTTTACCAGACGGTTTGTTCTTTTAAAAAATAAGTAGTACATTATTAAGACTCCGTATAGTGTTTAAATGTTAAAACCCACCACTCCGTATATATTTATTTTATTTCTTACCAGTTTCTGTTTAATGTATATTGATTACATTATTTATTTGATTAATTTTGTATGATTTTAGTTATTTTTCTCATTTTCATTATTTTTTATATCTATTTTTTCTAAGGTAAGAATAATCTTTAAAAAAGAAAAAGAAATGGAGGTAGAAAGTAAATTTAAAAATTTAAATGAAAAATTAAAAAAAATTTAAAAAAAAAATGAAATTCATCAAAAATAATCCCAACTGTTACGTAGTAGTGTTTCTGGGCTGAAAAACTATTGTATTCTCTCTTGGTTATTTACAATACAATGGGAAGTATATATATACAGCAAGGTATTCCTAATAGGATTAGGAATTCTAAATAAAAGGAAGCTACCATATACAAGTCTAATACAAATCAAAGACTAATATTCTAATATTCCTTTTCCTTTTCTAACACCCCCCCTCAAGTTGGAGCATGTAGCAATGAAATGCCCAACTTGGGAATCAAGAATTCATGTCGTGCTTTGCCCAGTGCCTTTGTATGCATATCAGCTAGCTGATGTGTAGTGGAAACATGATCTGTCTTGATGACTCCTCGCAGTAGTTCGTCTCGAACAAAATGGCAATCGACTTCGATGTGCTTCGTACGTTCATGGAAAACAGGATTGGCTGCGATATGTAATGCTGCAATACTGTCACACTTTATGGTCATAGGCTTCGAATGTTTAATCCCAAGAGAACCAAGTAGACTCTTGAGCCACTTTAACTCACAAGTGACCGCGGCTAGAGCTCTGTACTCAGCTTCTGCAGACGATCGGGCCACAGTCGTTTGTTTCTTTGTTTTCCAGGAGACAGGAGATTTGCCAAGTTGGACAAACCAACCAGTGAGGGATCTCCTTGTCAACGGACAGGCGGCCCAGTCTGAATCACACCATCCCGTTAGCTGCAAGGTATTGCTGGCTGATAAGAAGATCCCTTGACCAGGTTGCCCCTTCAA